ATTATACATTATGTATGACCTCAGAAGTTAGAGGGCTTTCTCCAGGTGTAGCACTGAGGAAGACGATGTGTCCCAGGTGAGGTCCTCATTGATGGGAAATCCAGGTACTGGAAGGCACTGACTTTCTGGAGAAGCCTTTGTTTATATTCTGTTGCAAGAGGCTGGCGGCATGGTCCAAGCTCCAGAGAGCCGGGGGGAGATAGCGTTGTAACCACCCTGACCTTGTTGTGGTGTCCTCTTGTTGTCTTGAGCAGCTTTGGGGGTCAGTGCTAGTCTCTGAGGATCTCCTTAGGCAATACCGTATCAAATAAAACCAAAAGTGTTTTAATATCACTTTCTGTTACAATAGGAATGCAGAAAAAGTAGCACAGTTGAAGCACAGCATCTTGGATGGTGCACAACCCCAGCAGCGGTTTAAGCCCAGCCCTACAGGCTGACTCTGGACCTCTGCTCCTTTCCAAACTTCGTCTGGTTCTGGCTCCTAACAGGCGGCTCAGTCCAGACTTTTTCATGATGGTGGAGCCAGATACCAGATGCTACCTCCATGGATTCTTCATTTAAACTTATATTGATTTAGTTCTTCCCTCCGGGTGCTCCAGCTTCCTCCCACCGTCAAAGAACATGCACGCTAGGTTAACTGAAGGCTCTAAATATCCCCAGCAATGAATGTGAGTGAGTGTGGTTGTGTGTCTACATTTAAACCTGTGATGGTGGTGCGACCTGTCCTGGGTGTACTCTGCTTCTCCCCCAATGTTAGCTGGCATGGGCTCCAGCGTTAGCAAACAAGGATATTATTAGTTAAGAGTGGAATAAGTGGATAACACAATAAGTGTTAATCAGTAGCCCTGAAAAGTTCTTCAGTTACCGTGTTTGAGAAGGAAGCGCAGGGTGTCAACTTGCCCACTCTGAGCTGCTGTGAACAGCGGGGTGATGCCATACATGTTGCTCAGGTTATATTTGGCCCCAGCCTTCAGCAGCATCTCACAGATCTCCACGTTGTTTCGAAGCACTGCTTCCTGGAGAGCTGTCCAGCCCTGAAGGCAGCGGGTATTCACCTCCGCCCCATGATTCAGCAGTGCTGCCACCACAGCAGCGTTACTCTTTTCGCAGGCTGTAAATGAACAAAAGACATTCTGTAACAGGAACCCCGTCATCTGAGAGGCTCCATTATGCCCCTGACACTTTCTCTTTGTTTATCCGATGAGCAGTCCAAGTGGTGTTCAGTTATATAGGACTAACCATGGCATTTACATCACTAAAACTTCATCAAATGGCTGAACTCAATTCAGAGATAAGATGAAAAGTTTATAGACAAACAACAACAATTGCCTGTAAATGCAGGTTAGAGTTACCACCTCAGTCCAAAATCCTTTAAATGGTCTTTCCATTGAGTCTGTGTGGACACAGGTTCACCCTGAAGGAGTGATGCGTTCCGGTAATTCATCTTACCTTTATAGAGGGGAGTTTCTTTATCATAACTTGGGATATCTGGCTCAGCTCCATTTTCCAGCAGCACCTGAACACACTCCAGATTGTCTCCGGTGGCAGCGACCATCAGCGGGGTTTCACCACGCGCCGTCCTCTTGTTGACCATCCCAGGCTGAGCTGCAACACAAATGGTAGCTTTACCTCGTACTACATGAGCCAAGACCCCAAAATTGGCCTCCCGCTATTTCTAGTTTGTTTTTTTACTTGTAGAAATCTGTTGTGAACAGTTGGCATGATGATCACTGCAGTAAGGTAGCTTAGTGGGGTTTTTCATGTTGAATAGGTGGACTGGTAGAGTGGAAACATCAAAACTGTGTATAGTCATGGTTACAGTGAGTATTATGCCCAAATACCTTCAAGGATGTTGTTTCCCTCTTATCAAGACTCTACTGTAATAATTATGCTCCGCTCAGGAATATGTCAATAAAATCTGATAAAAATTAGAACATAAACATGAAATGGTGTTTTACTTTTCATGCTATGACAAGAACAAACAACAAGAACAATAAGATGTTTTACAGAATTAAATCAACCAAAGAGCCAGCTCCTTATATGAGAAATAATGTGGAGCATCCTGTCAGTAGAGTATCTCAAGTGATCTAGGTTGCTACAAACCTCCACCCCAGTCCTCGGAGTCAGAGTCAGTCAGGTCTACATCTGCGATCATGTCATCCTCTCCAGACTGACTGTCACATGTTTGTACATTTCCATGCGTTGCTCATGCACTGACATTCCTGGAGTTTGCAGTTGCAGCACTTCTTCAGGGGCTGCAGGTCCCTGCACCCATTCTACAGGTCCATGGAAAGTTCCACGGATGTCCCAGCTCATTAAACACTTTTTGAAAAAGCTCCAACCTCACGATAAGCTTCAAGTCTCTGACCTTTCCCTGGTCTGCTGAGGCCTTCCCAGTGTTGCATCCATTGCATGTAGCGCCCTTCTGCTGCAGCAGAACCCTCTCCATAAAGCTTCTTCACTGCTGGATCTAGTTTCTTACTGTCTGCTCAAAACTGACAGCCCTTCAGGCTCTCACCGGTCTTCTGACTTTTGATGTACTTACTAGCTTTCTCACAGACTTTCCCCCTTAAGAACCTTTGAGCTGGTTGGTGTAGCTCGTGCTGCTCTGGCTGAACACCCTTCAAGTGCACCTTTAGGAACTGAGCATCTAACGTTTTTTTCATGGTGAAAAAACTGCTGCATTTTCTGTGGTACAACACCTTGACCACTCCCCTTCTGCCCTTCTTCTGGCTCGCTCCATGAGGCCTACATGATTTCTGATCTCCCCTGCCTTCACCTGTGTCTCCAGATCTCTGGGTGACACCAGCTAGATATCAGAGGTATCAGTTATATCATCAGCAAAGCTATGACTTTACTCTCTAAATCTTAGTTGTACCTGTATGATTTTTTGTAGAAAAGTCCCCTGCGACTTCCTGTTAACAGCAGTATTAATGCCAATTTTCAGCCTCACTTGCTCATTCACCCAGTAGAAATGCCACCAACTAAAGGTGCAAACAAATATTACCTGCAAGGCCTTTCTCCAACTGCAAAGGTGATCTAAATCATCAGTAGTAGCACATAAATCATGAAACGGCAACATCTGAGAATGGCAATATTCAATTCAATTTATATATAGCATTTTTATGGTCAAAGTAGTGATGCATTCATAAAATAGCAACAAGAATGAGCCCCCCTTTCAATTGCAATTGGTGGTCTGGCTGATGGACTATCTGTGATGTCATTAGGCCTTAGATTAGGGGTAAGAACTTACCTGCCAGGAGCATTCGCAAACAGGTGTCCTTGCCAAACCAGGCAGCCTGGTGGACAGCGAGCCATCCAGGTTTACTGGGCAGCATCAGGTTTTCTCCAGGACCCATCGCCAACTCTCTCACTTTGCGAGCATCACCTTCACGGATGGCTCTGAACAGAGGCTCCTCCTCCCTGAAGAAACAACATCTGTGTCAGCTTGTTTAGCTCTGAGGTGCACCTTTCAGCTGGTTCACCTCTAAATTGATTCATCTTTAAGATGGTTCACCTCTCAGCTGGTTCAACTCTAAATTGATTCATCTTTAAGATGGTTCACCTCTCAGCTGGTCGACCTTTAGATTGGTTTACCTCCAAATTAGTTAATCTTTAAGGTGGTTTATCTTTGAGATGGTTCACCTCTGAGCTGATGCTGTTCTGAGCTGGTTGTCCTCTAACATTATTCACATCTAAGATAGTTTACCTCTAAGCTGGTTCACTTCTTAGCAGGTTCACTTCTAAACTGTTTGACCTCTAAATTGGTTGACCCCTAAGCTGGTTCAGCTCTAAACCGGTTCACCTCTAAGATGGTACACCTCCAAAATGGTTGTCCTGCAAGCTGGTTCTCCTCTGAGCTGGTTCTCCGGTTTCCTTTCCCGTTTTTACTCCGTACACCCCATGAACCTGTTTCTCCTGTTAAACTGCACATCTGGATCATGGCTTTGGTTGTTTTATTGTTTTACCAAGATGACCTGCTATCATATCTATGCTCTTTCACAGGTGGTTCCTCAAACAGAACTCACTCTTCAGGTTCTTGGGCGACATGGACCAAACCTCCATCAGGTCTGCGATATGCCACCATCCTCTTCCCAGAGCCTGTCATGAACCGGCTGACCGTCCCATCAAATGTCTTCCTGTTAGCACCAAGAACACAGCCTATCAGAGCACAAATGCTGGCTCAGCAGACAAGCTTGGCGTTGAGACAAGTGGAGCAGCCAATCAGAGCACAGAAGCGGAAGCTTCCAAAATGTCATATGCATCCATCCATCCATTATCGTTACCACTTATTCCCTAATGGGGTCGCGGGGAGAACTGGAGCCTATCCCAGTGGTCAATGGACAACAGGATGCGTACACCCTGGACAGTCCGCCAGTCCATGTCATATATCGTTTTTATCTTATTCTGAAACTCCCTAACCCTAACCAGAATAACACCATCAGCTCAGAATATATTCAGAAATATGTACACTCAAACACATTTGGTGTGGCAATTACTGATTACAGTGGTGAAAACATTGACATAAAATGTCTTCCGGACACTTGTATTTTACTCTCCTCAACATTCATTCCTTTACTGTCCACTCCTAATAGGGTCACAGGAGGGTGGAGACTATCCCAGCTCCCATTAGGTGAGATGCAGTATTGGTTCATAATGAAAACACCAAACAAATGCAATTTACCCTAATTCTAACGCACTTAGAAACTCTCAGAGACAAAGCTCTACCTGCCTGAGATCATTTCAAAGATAGACACATCAGCCAAAAGAGGGTGACTGTTTTTCCAGCAGCATGTCTTTAAGAAGGGGATCCAACAACAAACAGCAGGAAATTACAGAAGAATAAGTGTTTAAACTGGAAATCTTTACACGGCATTACTTCTGTCTTCGGATATGAGTTTGAACAACAGGAAGTGGAGTTGTGGTTGCAGAGGTGTGGTAGAGGAGTTCAGGGTTAGGGTTAACTCTAACCCACAGTTCAGACAGACTCATTTCATCTGTCAGACGGTGGAACTGAGGAGCAACACAATACTCTGAGCTACAAAACACACCTGTGTGAAGAGCAGGGCCTGAGTGTTAAAGGTAAAGAGCAGCTTTACTGACCAAACTAAACCTGCCGAGAAAGAAAGCAAAGCACAGCGGTGGCAATATCATGCTGTGGGTATGTTTTTTCATCAGAAGGACCTGGAGAGAACATTAAAATGGAAGAAACATTTGGAGGTGTTCATCACAGGTACTTTCTCATGGACAAACTGGGTAACTGAAGGAATGACAATAAACCTCAGCTTACTGTGGAAGTAACTCCAGAGTTAGGAAGAAAAGTTGTTTTAGATGTTCTAGTCAAAGTCTAGTCCTCCATCTAACTCAACCAGTTTTTGAAGGACCCAGTGTACTTCAAAACAAAGAAATAGCCACTAAAATACCTAAAATGTGCCAAATGTATCGGGAAATTCAAATGGCCAGGATGCTCTGGGGGG